TTCTGAGGAAGGGTCACTGGACCCGAAACGTTAACTTTGATTTTTTTTCTTCACTGTTGCTGCCGGACCAGCGGAGCTTTTCCAGCAGCTTCTGTTTTTGTTCCTGATTTACAGCATTTGCAGTTCTTTCAGTTTTTAACTTAAAAATAACATCCAACATTATTTCCACCTTCTCATTAATAGAATATCTAGTGGACGTTCTGCATGTTAAAATGAATTAAAGTTTGATTTATATTTAAATTTACCTGGCCTATTTTTCAGTCTTTCAAAATGCTTTTGTTTTGTAGAATTTAATGCCTGTCAGTCAGAATTTCAATCTCCTATGGAGGGAAAGGACGTATGTGTTAAGAGGCCAGTTATTTGAGAAATCTGGTTTGCATTTGTTACTGTTAATGGTGTCCAACTGCTATTTTTCATTTTTATTAATTCATGAGATGTGGGCAGCACTGGCTAGGCCAGCACTTATTACCCATTGCTCATTGCATGATTATTTGGTTACACTTTGATGCTTGTTCATCATTTTCATCTTGTATGAATGCCTAATCTATGCTATAGCTATGTTTTAAATGGGATTACAAAGTTAAATTAACAATAGAATATAATTAGTTCATTCATGGTGTTGACTTTGGCATTCATGGTGTTGACTTTGGCATTCAAGTCGCATCAGTCACTTTTGAGACAACTTATGTTTTGGACTTATTGCTTAAGTACAGGTTACAGATCAACATAGGTTAAAAAAAAATCAACTCTAAACACCTTTTTAATAGTGCAATGATAAACCTCTTTTGGTTCTAATGTAACATATGGTTTATTTGTGTATTCTGGCCAGCATCATCCAGCAGTGGGCATAATGACGAGTAAGTGATACTAAAAAACCATAGAAATGTAGAAAGAATCGAACAATGAGATGGTGGATTATATCCTGACATAATATTTACATTAGCAGTCATGTGCAAGACACTGTGAAGAAAGGATGGAATAGTCTGTGACAAAAACAGAAAGTGCTCGAGAAGCTCAGCAGGCCTGGCAACATCTGTAGAGAGAAAAACAGAATTAACATTTTGAGTCCCATAACCCTTTGTCGGAATAGTCTGTACCTGTGAGACGTGTACTTGCGGAGAACAGTATTATACAGAATTGTGCAAATAAAAGAGCTTGTAGGAACATACCAGAGTCAGACAGCTGTTATTCATTGGTAAGGGGAAACCATTTCTAATCACAAAATATCATAAGAGACCAGCATTGCCCCATCTCCAATGTGTAGAATATATCCCTGAGCCATAAGCCTTGTGGCAATGCATTTCAGTCAAAGGAACTTAATGTAACTTTTTCAAAAGAGAACTGTACAGCATGCAATGCAGTGCAAGTACTGAGGTGATAAGGACAGGAGTAGGTTAAAAGGATCAAATATTCCTGCTGAGATGAGGTGTTACTGGGGAAGATAGCAGTGTGGAATGGAAGAGAACAGATGAAGAAATGAATGAATATTTTGCAATGCCATTTAATTGGGGGTCATGGTGTAATTGTAAACACCTTCATAAGGAAGTTCAGGTTCAACCGATTCCATCAATGCAGCAGATTAAGTAGGTTGAGCAGACTTCATGTTAGAGTATACTGTATTAAGCCAGTGAAGAAAGTGAAGGTAGTAATCATTTTTGTGTGGTATAGCTAATGGCAGGCAAAGTTGTTTCCAACGAATGGAAAAAAATCCACCTGGATCACTGTTGGTGCAAATCAAAATGTTAGAAACAAACTGGAAACCAGATACTGAAGGAATATTCTTTTAATTACACCAAAGCTGTTTGTTCAATGCCTCTAGCACCTTTTTATAATGCCTTTCCTCATTTAATGGCTCAAAACCATAAGAAACAGATTCTTGTTAAAGAAAAAATGAGATCGTAGGCTTGGTATATTAATGGAATTATCTTATTTTCAATTAGTCTTAATTAGAATAGATAGGAACATCAGGGCTACTGTCTTTGATCACTGTACAAATGTATTGAAAGGATGGCCGGTGCTAAATTCTAGTAAACTTAAAAAGCGCAAGAAGAACATTTGAAAATTCACGGTTCAGACCTAAATTGAGTCAAAATTTTCTTTGAAAGCTATTGGGCTCATAACTAATTTATGTGGGCATTTTTTTTCAGCATTTGTTTATCACTCTCTCCTAAAGACTCATTGTTTTTGACAAAAGATGTTACTGATCCCCAGCATCAGGGGATTGCTAAAGCTGCTGAGAGCCTGGTCAGATTAGCTCCTTGACACAATTCCATTGCCAGGACACTTTGCTGATCGGGTATGGAGAGAATATAGCCATTTACAATGCACAGTAGGCTAAATGCACAGGGCTGCCAACAACAACCTGGGGATAATGTTTTAGTAGAACAAAGAAAGGACCATGGACAGGAAAGGCATTCATTGAGTTTGAGTTTGATTTATTGTTGTCAATATAACGAGATACAATGAAAAGTTCTGTCTTGTATGCTATACAAGCAGATCGTACCATATAACGTGCATCAGGTGAACAGAACAGAGTGCAGAATACACTGTTACAGCCGCAGGTAATGTGCAGAGGGAGAGAGAGATCAGAATTAACATTTTGGAGGTGCGTTCAAAAGCCTGACAACAGTGGGGAAGAAACTATTCTTGAATCTGTTTGATGACCTCCTTGGAGAATTTGCCCTCTGACCCTCAACGCCATGCATTTGCTGCAATTTCATTTACTTACCTGACCTCTTAGAGGGGACCTACTTTCCTCAACAGTTGTAACTTCTTGTGGCAATGCTGCTGAGGCTTCAGCAACCAATTAGGAAACCTCCTGCAGTATAATTGCTAAGTATGACCTGTTGACGAGTTTCAGCTTAGGATCTACCTTTCATCTCAATATCATGGTCTCAACCAACCTTGTAAAATTCAACCCAAACTGACCTGCAGCCTTTGGGACCTTGGGAACTGTCTCTTTTGTATTTGTGAAGGCATGCTATTTAACAGTACACCCAACTAAAACCTGTTACTATCTGACATCTATGATTTACAGCAGAAACTCTTTGGATTGCAATCAGAAGAGGATGTTCTGATGTACGTTTCTCCTTTTTAACCCAAGGTCACAGAGAGCAATTTTAATATCCAAACTAATTGTCATTTCACCAAACTCAATGCACACTGAAGCTTGAATCCAGAGCCTTTCAGGTCAATATCAGATCATTAGGGTGCTTGCTTGTTGAGACATTGTGGTAGTCAGTACACATGTATAAATATGTAAAGTGTAACAGTTACACATTTGTCACTCGTCTGACCATGCTGTGACTCATAATATTCAACACCATGACTCCTATGTATTTCTTTCTTTATTTTCTAGGTCATTTTCTTTTTCTGAATGCATCGCAGTATACATCCTTATTATTGCTGAGTCCATGGCTGACAAGCATCAGTGAGCGCTGCACCTTGGAGGTGGCCATTTATCTGCAGGACTCAAGGTCAGGAGAATATGTTGTTCAGCTACTTCACAGCAATGAAAGCAAGACAGTCCTCATGTCATCAGAAAGTGAGGCAAGAACGGGGTAAGCCATATTTCCAATCTTTGTCAAGTACAAATCTGAACTTTGTCAAATCTGAACTTCTCACCGAAGTCTAATAACTTGGATATGAATATAGGAGCTATGGTTAGTAAGTTCGCAGATGACACCAAAATTAGAGGAGTAGTGAACAACGAAGAAGTACAATGGGATCTTGATCGGATGGGCCAATGGACCGAGGAGTGGCAGATGGAGTTTAATGTAGATAAATGTGAAGTGCTGCATTTTGGAAAGGCAAATCAGGGCAGGACTTACACACTTAATGGTAAGGTCCTGGGAGAGTTCTGAACAAAGACACCTTGGACTGCAGGTTCACAGTTCCTTGAAAGTGGAGTAGCAGGTAGACAGGGTAGTGAAGAAGGCATTTGGTATGCTTGTCTTTATTGGTCAGTGCATTGATTATAGAAGTTGGGAAGTCACGTTGCGGCTGTACAGGACATTGGTTTGGCCACTTTTAGAATACTGCATTCAATTCTGGTCTCCTTGCTACAGGAAAGATGTTGTTAAACTTGAAAGGGTTCAGAAAAGATTTACAAGGATGTTGCCAGAGTTGGAGAGTTTGAGCCAAAGTGACAGGCTGAATAGACAGGGGCTATTTTCCTTGCAGTGTCGCAAGCTGAGGGATGACCTTATGGAGGTTTATAAATTCATGAGGGGCATGGGTAGGGTAAAAAGGCAACGTCTTTTGTCCAGGGTAGGGGAGTCTAAAACTAGAGGGCATAAGTTTAAGGTGAGAGGGAAAGATTTAAAAGGGACCCATGGGACAACTTTTTCACATAGAGGGTGATGTGTGTATGGAATGAGCTGCCAGAGGAAGTGGTGGACATTGCTACAATTACAACGTTCAAAAAGGCTTCTGGATCGGCATCTGAATAGGAAGGCTTTAGAGGGATATGGACCAAATGGCTGGCAAATTAGACTAAATTTATTTAAGATATCTGGTCGGCATGGACGAGTTGGACCAAAGAGTTTTATTTCCGTGCTGTACATCTCTATGACTCTACAACAAGGTCAGCAAAAAATAGATGATAATGGAGACAAACATTTATTCCATAGCCCGGAATTTATGCACATACCACTGAACTAATGGACAAGGTGATACTTCATTGTCATTTAGTTCAATTAATCCATTTATTTTTGTGAACGGATTGTACATCCAATTAAAGAATATTATAGCAAGAAACTGAAGCAATTTCCAAATTTGAGGGAATCAAAGATCCAGCTTAGTATGCCCAGGTTGAATGTACAGATGTAAGTTCTAGACTAACTCCCTCTGCATTCTGTCCTAGTTTCAATCCCCCTGTCCCTTTTACCCAAAGATGTGGCAACATCATGCTGTTCACTTACAAAATTAACCGACACTAGTAGCTCTCCGATGTGGCTGCCATGTTCTGAAACAATTTGTTGTATAGAGGGCTTATATGCATTAGACGTTGTGTTGAAACTGCTTGACTTGAGTTATTCAGGCACTTAGAACTAATAGATAGTGAACACTTCAGTTGTTAATTCTATCCTAGTGAATAACGCACAATCTAACTTGGCCCATGACCATACCTTTTAAAATTGGAGAAATCCGAGGGGGTTAATGCAAAATAAGTGCAATGGGAGTGACAAACTTGTATATACTACATTACAAAGCAGTTTGAGTGGAAGGTTATCAAAGCACAAGTTGAATGCCAAGTCCCAACGCTGCGCCTTGAGTGCAAATCCCCAAACTGGGCAGGTGGCATGCTTGGCACCCAAATTACGGAGCATCCCAAGAGGCAGAACTTGACAGCCTGGTTCTACGAGTAAAGGAAAGTGACAGCCATGCTGGGGGGCTGCTGCTGCTTTGCCAAAGGGAACTAGTAGCTTATCAAAGGGCCATGGTGGATAACTAGCTGAGAATGGCAGTAATTTGGCCAAACTAATGCAATGCCCAGATTTGTGCACAGATTACTGAGGACTTGCTAACTTTTACTGTCACAAAGAGAACCCTTATTTGGTCCTAAGGCAAGCCCCTTGCTGTGCATTAATGTGTAACAGACTGTTTGTTTGCATTTGTAAAGCTTATTTGGGTGAACTCATTCTCAGAAGCCCTGTCCCTTCACATCTAAGCGAGGTTAATGGTCCCTTAACTGTAGGCGAGTAGCTTCCCATTGAGTTTCCCACCCCTTCCCCAATCCCCAGCATTTCACAAATTACAAACTGCCCTTGAGGTGTGAGGATCTTGAGATAACCAATAGAATTGCAGTTTTCAAGTCACACCTGCTCTGGATCCCAGCATTCCGAGCGCTCAAAAATCCAATGGCATCTAAACTTCTCAGAATTAAATGAAATTGTTTGCAAAATAGATAAGTGCAGCTGGGGTAATACTGGAATGCAGAAGTTCAAGATGGGACAGAACCTGAGTACAAAGAAATAGCCAGAGTGCTGATTTGATGGTGCTTGTTATGGGAATGGATCCTCAACTAAATGATGGTATCCTTAGGTGGATATGAATGAGCAGCAAGAAGGAAAACCAATGCAGAATTGAGGATTTGAACACAACCAAAGAACTGATTGATTTGACATCTAGCTGAGGTTATTCATGACATAGCGGTGATGAATTGTGTGGATGTGATGGACAGGAGAATCAATGCCATGCCATTTTAGTTTTTCTATATTTATGGGTCATTGTGAATAACAGTACAGAAGGTAGCAGTTTCTGACATTCATCTCCTGGATAGATGTACTATTTAATCAACAAATGTCACTTTTCAATCTGCCATAGCTGTCATCTCTGGAAATGCAAACACAGTCAGCCAGTGATCTTGCAGTATTTGCCTCAATTTTTAAAACTGCTGCCAAAATAATGATCAATTTAGGAAACTTTGAGCTCTCCTTAATAATTTGTTGGTTAAAAGCATCACAGACCATGAAGCACCCAGAATGAATCATATTAAATTAGCTAATCTAATCTTTGGATGGGGGCGTAACAATTGGTGATTGTGTCCTTGGGCTAGGCAGTTGAAATAATCAATTTGAGCTTTGAATTACTCACTGGTTATTATCCAGTGAACATTGTAGATGTGTCAAGGTTGGATGAGGACATGAGCGAAGCCTTCTATGTCGAAATGTTGTACTGGCAACTGAAGAAAAGGCCACTTAGAGGAAGGCACTGCTGCAGTCATTGATCTGGAGTCCAGCATAGCACCTAACAGGAGAGAGTGAGAGAATATGTAACCTAAATTTAACAGAACTGTAATTCCATTGCATGTTGCTATTGCATTTCATCTTCCTTCAGGATTCCTGGCATTTGAACTTTGTTTGTACACAATTGTACATTTCTCAACATAGTAAGTGAAATTGTTTCTCTGTGCACACAATTTGATTTATACAACGACATCAGAAAGAAGCCCAATATTTATGTCCTGGAAACAGGAAAAACGAACAGGTGGAATTCCAGAATACATCAAGGCTCGCAACTTCTAGGGGACAGAGCTGACCAAATTGGTAAGGTTATGGCAAGCAATCTGTACTGTTAAGTCACCTTCATATTTAATTTTGCCTAGTGGCATTAAGTTTTGAAATTTTGTGAAAGTATCTGGAGTGATTGCTTTAAAAAAGGTGATTGGAAATTCACTATGAGCATTGGAAATTTTGTTTTAATAAAGGCTTTTGAGAAATCACATGGAAAGGTGATCACATTGAAACATATAGGATTCTTAGGGTAAATGTCGAGAGGATGCTTCCCCTCATGGGAGAGCCTAGTACCACTGTGCATGGTCTCAGAACAAAGTGGAGGCAATTTAAACTCAGATGAGGGGGAATTTCTTCTCTCAGAAGGTTTGAGAGTCTTTGGAATTTTTTGCTACAGGGAGCAGAGTCCTTGTTTACATTTGAGGCTGAGATATATTGTTGATCAGGAGGGGAATCAAGGATTACAGGGAAAGGGCAGGAAATTGAATGTGAGGAACGTTGGATCAGCCATGATCCTATTGGATGGGTGGTAGGCTCAAGGAACCAGATGGCCTTCTCCTGTATCTATTCCTTATGGCTTCTGGTCAGTGACTGACTTGGAGGGGTTTCTTGACACCTGGGAACGGTATTTTCATTGTATGTTTTGAACCATGGAGTGCAGCAATAGTGCACTCCTCCAGCCTTAATCACAATGGCATGAAAGAGCTTGTTTAAAAACTGAATGACAGTGGCAAGACCTGTGGTTATGTTCTGGATATGATCTCCAGACCTGTCTGTTTTGACACATTATCATAGGAACAAAAACAGAAGTTGCTGGAAAAGCTCAGCAGGTCTGACAGCATCTGTGAAGAAAAAATCAGAGTTAACGTTTCAGGTCCAGTGACCCTTCCTCAGAACTGATGGTAGCTAGGAAAACATCGGTTTATATGCAGAAAATAGGGAGGGGGATGGGGAAGGGAGTAAATGTTCGGATAGAGCCCAAAAAAAGAGAAGAGCAGTTGGATACCCAAAGGAGTTCATAACTATTTGGCTAGGAAGGTGAATAGTTGTTAGTGGGGACTGTTAGTGACTAACAATAGGTAGTGTGTAATGGCAGGCTATGTGATAACAAGGCTTGGTGTGTGGGGTAGGGGGCTACGACATGGGACAGTTTAGGGCCTAAAATTATTGAACTTGATATTGAGTCCAGAGGGCTGCAGGGTCCCCAAGCGGAAAATGAGGCGTTGTTCTTTCAGCTTGCACGGAGCTTCACTGGAGCACTGCAGCAAGCCAAAGGTAGAGATGTTGGCCAGGGAACAAGGTGGTGTGTTAAAGTGGCAGGCAACTGGAAGCTTGAGGTCTTTTTTGTGAGCAGAATGTAGATGTTCTGTGAAGCGGTCGCCTGGTCTATGTTTCATTTCCCCAGTGTAGCGGAGACCACATTGTGAGCAGCAAATGCAGTAGACTAGATTCTGGGAAGTGCAGGGAAGGTGCTGTGGAGCTGTTGGGGTGTGCTGGGGTGAAGGAAGAGTAGACCAGTGTGTCCCAGAGGAAATGGTCCCTGC